GTTAAAATAACATGTATTTTCTGCTTGTCTAAAGCCTTGGTTAGAGTTGTATCGTATAACGCTCTATTTCAGATTGTAGCATGATACATGAGCTATTGCTGGACAGAAATTGGTCAGAATGGGATATCGTGAACGTTCCTTGGCGACAATTTAGTCGCTTGTGATTCTTGTTTATTTTGAGCTCTGTACAACGACCCCGATAAGAGAGAGGTCGCTGACGTATTGAGTTTGTTGACATACTCGTAGGCGCCATTACGGGTGACCGTCGCTATACTTTGGCAAGCTGTATTTCGTTATTGTGACGTCGCAGTGACGTAATTTTTGGATGACGTCATCAGGTGGGGGTCAGGAATCATATATCCAAAAATTGTTACGCCACGCCCACTAGAAGTTATTCAGGTAAGAAAGTACATGAGACCCCTATTCACTTGGCTAACACAGACAGTCCCCAACTCGTAATAGAACTATAATGTGAAACATATGAACAACATTTTGTCCTAACCTGGTACACATACTACAGGAGTATCCTTTTCTGTATGTCTGTATGTAGCTTGGTATTTTGCTTTATTTTTATATAAAACTTATCGTAAAAAAAAATTTGGTGGCATCCCGCGATTTTTTTTGGTATGAATATTGATAATTTCATAAAATTCGAAATTTTGGTAAAATAATTGATTTTTTTTTCTGATGTGGCCGCGGCCCATAGCTTGAGTCACCACCCCTATAGTGAAATTGACTTGAGCTTATAGTTTTTACAGGTAAATTTTAGGACTCCTTTCCTGTCAAAAATTGTTTTCCTTGTCACGAAAAGTACGGGTACCGGTACCAATGAGGATTGTCAGATCTGCAGGTACGGTACACTCTCTTACCGCAAAAGCCTTTTGTCAGGTAAAGCTGCGTAAACATACAGGTACGGTCTTTAAAATCTGTGAAATGGTCTCACAGCTGCACCGAGAAATATACTGAGTCATCTGAAAACTGTCGAGTCATCTATTGAATAATACAGATATCGCGCAAGGAGGGAATAAGGTATTTTATTTTCAGCGTAACTTGTGATAAATCATACGTTTGCTCATTTTTGTCGGCGCCGACGTGTACCTCTATATGTTTCAAAACGGAGGGAAATCCCTAGAAAATAACACGACTTACACTGTACCGGTACGCAATCACGGCTCACGCACCAGGGAATTCTGATCCATGGACCTTTCCCCGATCATCGACTTCCTTGTTTACTTCGTGACATTGGCCAATCAGTGAGATGCAAAAAGTGACGTAACAATGCTTCCTTTTCGCATCCGCTCAGACACTTTTCTCCCTCAGACAGATTTTCAAGCGTGGTCGTAAACATTACTTCGTTTTCGCGTTAATTTTTTCTATTCGTTAATTTTCAGTTGTGTTTCGGAAACTTAAATATAAATCAGATATTTCAATGATCACTCTGCCTTTCTAGGAGTTTTCATTTAAGTGCAGTAATAAAAATTTAGTGTAGAAATAGCTGTGATAGACTAGGCTAAAATTCTTTACCGGCACTTTTAAAAAACAGATTGCTGTATGCGATAAATCATAATGATGGCTTGGAACACATACCCTATTTTACAGGCGCCAACTCGTAAAAGAATTTCCTGAAATGGCCTCGAAAACTTTGCAATGGTAAAGTATGAGAAGAATTTATCGGGGGTCAGAGGTCGGGGAAAGGTCCATAGGCCTGCACGCCCCCGATGCTGTATATGCCATGCATTAGTTTTAAACGTACCGCCGTTGTTATGTTTTCTGGTTTGGGGGGGATGGGGGCGCTCCCTATGACGACAGCAGTGCAGCACTTCTCTCGCACTTATAAATACCTACCCTCCACGGGATTTCAACCTGCAACCGCCAACCGGCAGGTTAATCAGATGTACAATTTTGTTGGTCTAACTGGAAATACAAAAGCTATCGGTATGTTTAAGAATAGTCGATACCAAACTTCTTGATATATTCCTTCTTATTAAACTCCACACTTCTCCAAGTGCAGTTTTAAGTATTCTATGGCGTCTGCAGCTGCCGCAAAACCATGGCGGTATTTCCATACCATGGCCGCTACGGCCAAACCTATGGCGACTGACTTTTTAGCTGCAACAAACCAATGTCGAGCTGCCGTTTCCGCGGCAGCAAATTGAAAACCAATGCGCGGCAGGTGGGCCGTAAGGACAGGGCTGTCCCTTATGGTGACAAATATTGGGTAAGTTGGAACGTTTTTCTTATGGATACAGTCTTGATAGATTTGGGGTTAGGGTTAGGGTTTAAGTAGATATAATTCCGCATGATCAATTAGAATTTTACATTAGTTTGTGAATATACCGTCAATACTGATTACTGAATACAGAATAGCGCTATAAAACCATGGCAAGAGCTGCCGCGGTTCGTTCGTGGCAGGAGCTGCCATGAAGTGGTAAGAACTGCGCCTCCATTTCTCCCTCGTCAATCGTTTACGTATATTAAGCTAGTGATATGCGCAACTTGCACCCGGACTTTTGCACAGTTTAATAGTTCATAATGTGATTTTTATAACTTAATTAAGTTCTGGAAACTCCAATTATCGCTTTGGATAGGATTGCATTTTTCTCTGAAAGGTGGGGAGTAATAAGGACAAGTTTCTTGTTGCGTCACTATCCAGGCATAGTCCGGATTTTGTTAGTATTTTATGTTTGACTTCTTCCTCAGTATGTATTAATGTCAGACTAACTTCCTCATAGGTGACGCTGCTCGATAACCATCACTGGTTTATCGCGTCTCCTTTCACAATGAAATGCATTCTTTTATCTTTCTTAATTATGTTTGTTTAATGTGTACTTTCGGTTTGTGATAAAATAAACATCCGACTGACATAGACATACTTTCTGGCCCATCCCCTGGCCACTGCAACCGATGCGGCTGCTCTGGTCTAACACCATGTAATACATTGCTTTTCTCAACTAATTTATTGCACTCAATGTATTCTCTATTTGGTAGATAGTGAAAAAAGGTTTTCGCGCCACAAACTGATCAAGGTCGACAATTCACGGAGGTAGATTAATTACGTAGTTCTCGTGTGACGTAATTTTGAATACAGAAAGGAAAAGTGTCCGCCCTGCATTAGTTTCGGCAGGTCTTGCATACTATTTAAATGCATTGACTTGGACCAGCGACTAATTCTGCGGTGACAAGACGGCAATTTTCTCGAAAATAATTATCTGACGCTGGATTGGTACTCCATGCAACAGGATGATTGGCGCGACCACGGGCTTAGTAATAACCCATAAGCTTTCTTTTGATTCTCGGCTGAACAAACCAAAGGAGCGGCGTGGCGTATCTTACTTAGCGTTATAAAGATGCTCGCCATCGCATCTGTGATTACACTGCTAATTACCCTCGCCGCTGCAGGGTGGCACGAACCGGTTACGCCAGGGGTCGACAACCTTTTGTCGCTCGCGGGCCAAAATTAAGGTTGCAAGTCATTAGCGGGCCGCACATATTTTCAGAAAGTTGAAAATCCGATCGGATGGTACTTTTTATAATAATAATCAAGCGATGATACATCTCTCGAATAGAATATAGATTTATTTCATCATCGCATCTCATAAAATATTTGGAAAAAAATCATTTGAATATTTTCAGCGCCATTGAACCCTTTGCACTTAGCATAAACTTTTCTGCGTTTTGTTGCCATTTGCTTAATTATAACTAAATTAAATGCTCAAACGAGTAATTGTTAGGTTAAAATATAATTTAGTCTAAAGAATATGTTCGTCAAAACGGATGTTTTGTTACTATAATTTAGTGAAGCGTCGCGAGCCGGATTATAGAGCTCCGCGGGCCGTAGGTTGCCGACCCCTGGGTTACGGCTTGCTCCACATCAAGTCCATGAATCTCGAACGAATAAATTAGGCCTATTACTTCCATACCCCACATAGACTGGCAAGAGGATTTCCAACTTAGTGTTAAACTATTCTGGGACACCTTAATGTCTAGAATTTAAATTTGATGCAACAGTGCGAGCTGCGCGTGAAATAGCGTTATTTTCAGAAACTGCATGCCTCTAAATAATTTTTGCATAATCAAGGAAACCTATGAAATGGTGAATATTTGAGGCATAAATGCAAAAAATCACTAAAACAGGAAAAATTTGTTGTTGTCAGTAAATTCCGGGACGACCGTAGTCCAGCCAGGGACGCCAGACGTCAATTCCGGGTCCGATTGGTATTGGTCCGATTTATTGTGAGACACGTGTAGACTAAATTATATTATAATCTAATAAGTATAAAATGCATAATTACTCATTCAATGAGCCTATAATTTATATATAATTAGACAAACGGCAACAAAACGCAGAAAAAGTTGTTGCGAAGTGCAAAGAGTTTAGTGGCGCTGAAAATATTCAAATGGAATTTTTTGAGATGCAATGAGGAAATAAATCTATATTCTATTCGAGAGATTTATCACTGCTTGATTTTCATTATAAAAAGTATCATCTGTTCGGTTTTGGAACTGTTAAAAAATATGTGCGGCCCGCCAATGATTTGCAACCCTTAATTTTGGATCGCGAGCAACAAAAGGTTGCCGACCCCTGCTCTAAATGCTCAGTCAAGGGTATAGTCGCGGGTCATACACGTTTTAGTTCAGTTCAAGTCGCAGAAAATTTTGAAGCTCTGGTTTCAAGCAAAGTCACTGCACTCCTGAGTAAGTCTGTCTGATGGTTCGTCGAGTCATTTCGCTCAGGTCAGGTAATTTGAGTCACTCCGAGGTACTGAAAAAAATTAACTAAAATTGAATGAATCAAGCCACCCCAATCGATGCTCCCGTAGTATGTGCACCAAGATGGCGCACAACCTGAATAAAGTATGTGTACCAGGTATGGGTTATCAGGTTGTGCGCCATTCTGGTGCACATTCCACCTGAGTGCCTTCCAATTCTGCTACGAAGCAACAAAAAACTAATATCGAGCCTAATTGTATTACTTGTTAGACCCAATGAACATACTTACACTGGAGACTAACAATAGATAGTTTATTTTGAAACTCCATATTCTGACAATACAAACAAATTAAAAATGAAAGTCGTGCACCTTGTTACAAGAAAACTTTGAGGTGAAATACGGCATTATGCGTGCAGATGATTGAACAAACGGCGGAAGTATTCATACCAGGATGACGCACAACCTGAACCCTAACCTGGTACACATACTATGTTCAGGTTGTGCGACCTCATGGTACACATACTTCGGGAGCATCGAACAAATAATGGAATGACGAACAGCAGCAAGCACAGTGATAGTTATAATTAATGAGAAAATAAATGTACAAAATAATGGATTTTAATAAAACACAGTGGCGTACTGTACATGACAAAAGTTGGGACCTCCATAAGTGTGTGCACCAAGATGGTGCACAACCTGAACATAGTATGTGTACCAGGTTAGGGATCAGGTTGCGCGCCATCTTAGTGCACATACTTCGGGAGCGACAAGAGTTGAATGCGGACCAGCCAGAGCCTCATAGAATGGGGTCCACAGGAATAAGAATTCACAGAAGCACGACTTTACAATATAAGATAAGATTTAAATATTTATCCTGAGGGAGAGGAGAGCCGATAACACGGATTAATCATATGTTACCACTGACCAGTCTATGTCGGGGGTAAGGGGTTAGTTAGCCAGTAATTTGTTTTCAGATGCATGGACTCGATGAGGGAGCTGACGATGAGTCGTAACTGACCAGCGTTTACGTGAACAACCCTATGACGGCGAGAGTCCAGCGATAATTAAAGCCTGAAGTGATTCGAACCCACGGTGCGGATTCTTAATGATTAGCACACTGCGATCTGACAATGACATAATGGTCAGATCATTGAGCCATATTGTATCATAGGTTTTCTCGCTCAGTTTTAGATTTCGTGGGTTTTGAAAGCGATTAAACCTTCTGAAGGTTGTGGTGAGTTGAATTCACCCATTTCTTCAGCCATGGGGCTACTTGTCTGCAAGGGGAGTCTATTGCAAGCAAAGAAGAGCCAAACATATCGTGGTAAATTAGCAAAAGCACTGACCACACATAGCGCCGGGAGTAAATCAAGAAATAAGCTCCGTCACACCATATACACCAGCACCTCCATTCGCAGCCCTGGACAATGCTCGATACCCAGTCAGGCTTTCCATCGCTTCCATATTAGATGGCGTGAATGAAGTGTGACTCATTATATATGAAGTTAATGCTTGATAAGTGAAACATAGTTCATTTCGTTCCAATCGTATCTCAGGGCTCTGACAAGTACGAAACATAGTGAATACATTATACAATGGTTTCATTTCGTCTACAAGTCCCCAGGTATTTGATCATGTCGGATAATCAGAAGCATGCGCAGTGTATTCGGGTGGATCAATATCCATTTGGGCCTCTTGATGTTTTGTCATTTGGGGAGCCAGTGCGTGAGGCGGAGCATCTACTAATACTGCTTGAGGTGGCACTTGGCTAGCAGGCTGATATGTAGCCCCTGAAACTGACATCATAGGCTGGGGTGCTGTAGCAGGCACCATCATATATTGGCCATTTGCCAGTTGCACCATTTGTTGAGGGGCATATTGCACAGTAGGTGCTGTGTATATTACAACACCTTTATGTGTTTTTTTACAACAAACCCCGGCACAACAATACGACGAATGCACGATGCAAATGATCATGCCAACAAAACCTATCACAGCCATTAAAGAATGCAACGCCAATGCACCATAAGTGTGGCTTAATGGGTACAAATCACCAGCGCTATATCCAGACATTACACAGAGAATCCCCATAAAATTTGCTGCTATGATACTAACAGTCATATTGGCCCTGTACATGCATATAGTAGGTATAGTCTTTGATTTGATGCCGAGAATTCCACTTGCAATAATAACAGCGCCACACCAGAGCCCAGGAGCTGTGTTTGTTAGACCGTAATACACAGTATGATAAAACGTTTCGTCATAGTATGGCTCATAATAAGGCCATTCTTTTGTCAAACTTGCGAGAACTAAAGTGACAATGCAAGAAATGCTCGATAAACTACCCAAGACGACTTCAGTAACTCCTAATTTGAATAACTTGTTTTTGTATCTTTCTCTTGGTTTAGGCATTGCTGCTGTTTGGGGTGGCTGTACACTGGAATGTGGGGTTGATGTTACGTCCATTCCACCTTCTAGCCGTGTCCATTGTGAGTTGGTATCTTGCATCATGGTTAATAATAAATGCAATAATATGATTTTCCAAAGTTTGCGGAATTTGTAGAGTTTTTCCCACACGCTCAAAAGTTACAGAAAATTGTGAATTTTGTCCAAAATAGTCCAAATTAGTCAAATTTTCATCGAAGCTGTGAAATCCAATGAAGATTTTTCCAAAATTTGCATAATTTGTAAAATTCTTCCACGCAGTTACAAGTTACAGATAATGTTGTCGATAAATTCTGCTATCCAACCAGAAATTCTCCATGAAAGTAACAATTGCTTAGTCTAAAGATTTGTGATTTATGTAAAGAAATCTGTAAACTGTAACATAGAAAAGAATAATGATGCTGAAATGAGAAACATGCTAAGGAATATACAGTACTTTCATAAAGTCCTTTTACAATTTCAATTTTGTTATGACGTCAGTTCTCAATATATCTTAACCAGTTATTTTAATCAGTAATTGTTCAAGTATTTTCACTTCATTTAATACATTTTGAGGGCCGAAACAATAAATGGTATCGATAAATTCTCCTTGTAATTTAATATGTTTTAACCAGGTTTGTTGTTTTTAATCAGTAATTGTTTAGGTATTTCACTTCATTTAATACATTTGTGAGGGCAAAAACAATGTATGAAATCGATTAATTCGCTTTGCAATTTTAAAAAAATCCAAGACTTATGGACACCATATAATTATATTTTAAGAATATTTGCCAGAAATATCAAATTCATTCGAATTACAACAGCAATGCTAAAATATACGGATACGCGGATGTTGCAATCAAACTGGTATGGTAAGAAAATTGATAAAAATAAACATAGTGCAGTCCACAGGATGGCAAGTGTAGGCAAAAAGTTCAAGAAAAATCATTTGGGAGCGGATGGGCAGTGGCGTATCTATGTACAATTGCGGCATTGCGCCTATGGCAAAGTTTAAAAACGTGCCGCTCTTGATAGTTGGTTAACAATTTATAATGACTGTTATCAAAATTAGATACTTGTGCCTCACCAACCATTTAAGTAAAAATATGAGTTTCAGTTATTTTCAAACTGAAATTATTTTACATAAACAATTTATGTTTGAAACTTTTCGGCTTTTTATGCCCCTTTCCAAACGGTGCCCATGTCACGAGCCATGGCTGCCACACCCTGGATAGGCCACTGCCACTGGGTTCTCTATTTCAATACATCTTACATGATCAAATGTGGCTTATTCATAGGTATTTGTAGGAATGAAAATATAAAAAAAAAAATTGTAGGTATCTTTTTCTTTGAAATTTGCAAAGAGGTAAATGAGAGAATAAAGTTTGAGAACCCATGATTCAGTATAAACAACATAGATTCATTCAATACATGAACATTTGATATAAAAAAAATTAAAATATTGATAAAACACCATATTTGTGAAATACTGCGGTAACTGTAATAATGAATACGAATACAACATACACGCCGATAATGTACCATCCGCAATATAAAGTATGTATATAAAGATAATAAATACTGAATATAACGATATATGACCATTTCTGATTGAAATCCCAATAAAGAAAAAAAGCTCATCGCATGGCAAGAATGGGGATTTGTACTATTCGCAACAGAGGGTAAGATTTATATAAAGAAAACTAGGAACTATGCAAAAGTAGGAAAAAAGAATTGATACTCATAGGTTGATGCTACGTGGAAGGAAATACTGTTTTCATATAGATATGTAGTATTCGAAATTAATATCAATTACCGGTATATTATTATCGCACCATAAAAACAATAACATATGGCAGGTATGGTGATATAATCGGCGGCAAAATTTTAAGACATAATATAACCTATATATATATGCAATACGCGTTAACTTCAACATGACTATGATATTGCATAGCAGTGTGAACGAACATAAATTATGAAATATTTTTGAACATCAACCGTGCCATCCAATGTACATTCACAAAAATTCTCATGGCCCAACATAAAACCACTTATTAACTCAATTCCAACTTGAAATTGCAACAAAAAAATCTGGCAATAAAACTATTTACTTTACTATAAATTGAAATCAAAATTCGTTTGGTAGAAAAATTCTAAGATATTGCAAGTGGCAAGAAATATACGGCAAGTATGGTGATTGATAATGTACTATCTGGAACAAAAGTATGATTAATGAAAACACAATATTAAGTCATGGATGCAAACTTGCACTATGATTAAAAATAAGAAAAAAGAGAAGTAGATGAAATAAGAAACGTAATTAAATCAATATTTATGTTTTTATGAGGCAAAAGATTGCCGGACTCCTCGCCGTCGTGGGGTGGTTCACTAACCGCTGGTCGATTACGGCTTCCTCCACCACCAAGTCTATGCATCTAAATATATTAGAAGGGGTGGTGAGTTAAAAGTTTGGGAGGCCGTAGGGTAAACCATATCGTTTGCTTTATACAGATATGGATGCATTACTAAATATATATATCTACACATATATGCTATATGTATATCCCCCCACTTCAGAATATTTTCAGCTGAATACTTTGAACCTTTTCAAAATTATTTCTCAGTATATTGTGGAGGATTCGAGCTCATCTGGTCTTCTTGATCTTTGGTTATTAATGGTTGTGTAGGCATTGTGGGATAAGGAGCTACAGCTTGCTGAGATGATTGTCCAGTGGGAAATACTACAGAGCTTAGGGAAGACATGGGGGCTGATGCGGAAGGTATTCCAATCAGGGCTGGGGAGCTGGTTCGAAATCATGATGGCTCCGGCTCCAGCTCCGGAGTCGCAGTGTATTCAAACTTTAGCTCCAACTCCGGCTCCGGAGCTTCATTTTTTTTATGCGGAGCTGGCTCCAGCTCCGGCTCCATAGCCATTATCAGTAGTGCAGCCCAATAACGCATTTTGCTAATTGTTTTCTAAGTGTGGCATGTTATTTAGGCTGTAAACACCCTTCAAGTCGGTGTCATGATAATTCCTTTTTGTTCCTGCATGTAACTTGTGCATCCACTGAGAGTTATTATATGCTGTATTTTTATATGCGAATCGGTATACCCGGCATATAAGGGTTTTACATATAACCCCACAAGAAGACGGGAAGGAAAATCGGCTTCTTGAATGGTCGCAGCGTTTGCGCATTCGGTAAAATAGCTCATAATGACTTTTTCTACCACATAATATTTAACCCATGATAACTGTCAATCATGCGGCTAAATAAAATCTGTCGTTGGCCATTCTAAAGCAAAACTTATGGTGTTTTCTGCTTTATTTTTAGTATTTTATAATGTCGCTTTTTAATCAGGAAAATTTGGTTTGCGTATTGACTTCTTTATTTATCTTAGAATTTCATCACCGATGATTATGTAATAACTCGTTTTCTCACAAATATGATGCGTGACACAAAACATATGTCTTGAGAAATTGTGATTAAGGGAAAAATAAACACTGAAATAAAAGATGTTATGGCCTAATGTTTATGGCGACGAAAACAATTGACGCTTTTCACGAAATGCAATGCACATGTGATAGTAACGGCAATAGTTATGGCGACGAAAACAATTGACGCTTTTCACGAAATGCAATGCACATGTGATAGTAACGGCAATAGCCCTTCAACTCATGATAATTTAAACTGGCCTGACGGGGAGGCAGTATTTTATGGTACAAATTGAATAAGCAGACCCAAAATAATGGAAATTACCATCGTCACCCAATTAGATGCCGTCCCCCTCTCCCAAATCAGGCCAAAAGTTGGTTCTAGAAATGAGGCGTTTTCATAATTATCAGCGATGAGATGTTAAAGATAAATAGAGAAGTCAATTCGCAAGCCGAATTTCCACATTGGAGAGTTATTATAAGATACTAAAATGAAACGGAAAACACTATAAACTTTGTTCTAGGAGACTCCCAGCGGCTAAAAAAAATGCCTTGTTAATCTCATTATTTTTTTTACCTACGACATATTATTTACCGGTTGACTTTGAAAATTATACAGTCACTAAAATAAATCTAAACGCAAACAATCTTTCTCGCGATATACCTTTTATATATATCCAAAAAATAACAACGGAAATTGATGAGACTTTTCTCCAGAACATGCTATGTTATGGATCAAAACAAGATATACCGTAATGGGGCACTTTGCCATACGTTTTTATGATAGGTGACTGTTGCGGTGCATTTTGGAGTAGTTAAACCTTTCTTTTGTCGTAAAACGACTCAATCTCGAGATACGTTGAACAGAATTGAAGACATATGAAATGGATTGGATATTCAACGCCACGAAAGAATCATAATATGTTACATGGAAATTCAAAAATCACTTCTTCGAAAATCCCTGGCCATTAGGGTTTTTGAGCTTGACGGCAATCATGAAAAATTGCAGCTTAGTGGAAATGAGAATCAAAATTTTGATAAAAGCGAACCGCTTCAAATTTTGATACTAAACTTTCAAACATACAGAATAACTGGAAACTTTTTAAAAAATATTAGGAACTAAAATTTTTAAAATGAATTATAAGCTGAAAAGAAAAGATTTTATCATTTGTAACGCTATCAGAAAAAAATTATAAATTTGAAAAACAAAAAATGAGATATTTAGGAGCTGGAGCCTGGAGCCACTAAATTTTTGGTAGCTCCAGCTCCGGCTCCAGCTCCATCTGTTATGAAAAGCTTGGCTCCAACTCCGACTCCATCAAAATGTAACGGCTCCATGGCTCCGGGCTCCGACTCCAGCTCCGGCTCCCCAGCCCTGATTCCAATTTGAGCAGCCATTGGAGCGTGTTGATACTGCCCTTGGGGAAGAGCTCCAGCCTGGGAGGGCAAGGGAGGTGGTGCATACTGCATTGTTGGGGCTCCTCCCACTTGGGTGGGAATGGGGGTCTGCGGATACTGCATTGTGGGGGCTCCTCCAGCCTGGACAGGCACAGTTGTGGGTGCATAACACATAGCTCCTGATGTTTGGCAACCTTGTGGCATCATTACATACTGACCATTTGCAAGTTGCACCATTTGACCTTGTTGAGTAGTGTAAGCAACGTTAATTTGCCGGGGCTTTTTTCGACAACAAATTCCAGCACAGCAAAGCGCTGCATGGATAATAGAGATTATCATGCCTATAAATCCAAGGATGGCAAGGATAACATGGAAAGGCATAACTATGTAACTATATGACCGAGGATAAACCGTGACGATACTCACAATTGACAAAACGATTAGAATCAACATAAATATTGCTGCCAAAATACTGAAAGTCATATTAGCCCGGTACATACACGGTGATGTATGGTGCTTCGTCTTAATTCCTAGGATGCCAGATACTAGAAGGACAGCGCCGCACCATATTCCGTGTCCCACTGCATTGGTGCCATTTGTGATTCTATAGGTATAGTATTGATCATTGTAAAAGTTTTGGTACAGATAGGAAGAATTTCTCACTGCCAGGATAAGGGTCACAACACAAAAAATGGCGCAGAGCACCGCTAAAATGATCTCCACTGTTCCAAGATAAAACAGAACATTTTTGTATTTTTTCCGTGGTTTGAGTTTACCCGTTGCTGCCCCTTGTGATTGAGTTTGTACCAACATAACTTGTCCGACTGGAGCTTGTTGTTGTAGTTGAACATTTGCAGTTGGCATTACAGAATTCTGCGCTGGAGTTTCAAATTGCTTGGGGTAACTGGTGCCTGGATTCGCAGCCATAATATCGTATCTTTCTATATATGTTCAGAATAAGCTCTCAAGCCTAAGCTAAATTAAATTATTCAATTAGTTTATGGTTTAATATGCTGATTATGGAATCAAAATAAACTTGTTATTAGTATTCCAACCATCAACTGAAGTTGGTGGTACTGATAAAAAGTTCCAGGCACCACTGGAATACAAATGCTTTATTCTTTCTCTCAAAGTAAGGTCCCAATCTGTCAACTAAAGGTTGGAAAGAAACGGATTAAAGAGTTGTAAGCACCCCTGAAACGAAAATGTTTAATTGTTTTTAGGTCCTGATTCGTGAACTAAAATGCTAAGTTGAAGCTATAAATAGGGGGTGGCCAACTTGTCGACCAGTCTATCGCCGCATCTCGAGGAGTCGATCATGTCTGATGATAAGTGAATTTATGGGGCTCCCGAAGTATGCGAACCAAGATGGCGGACATCGGAATGTAATATGTGTACTAATATTTAGGTATAAATACTACGGGAGGCTCTTGGCTAGTCTTCGAACTGATAATAGGACTAAAATAAGGAAAATTGGAAAAAAATTATGGCCTAACCCTAACCTGTTACGTTCCGATGTCCGCCATCTTGGTTCGCATACTTCGGGAGCATCGAATTTATTAACGTACCCTAAAAATGCCTTGGACCAGTTTCATTAGATCTGAATTGTATGATTCGAATAAATTATATTGAAAGATAAAGATCTACTTGGGGTACAATCACATGATCAAATTGAATGAAACATAAAAAATGCAAATTTTTTTGGCGATTTCATCGAGCTTATTGGCAGAGGTGGGAGTTTTTTATATGCGTGTGTGCAGTTTTCTGCATATTCGGTACTCATTTGATTTTGTGTATGACCTTATTGTCGATCCGTCGATCGCAAGCTATTTTGAAGATTTCAGTCGATCGCGGTCAAAAGCAGGTTGGCCACCCATACTATAAATTAAAGTTTGCGTAATGTATATCCATACAACAAAGAAGTCTGCCGATAGTAGTTGGTACGTGACTCAAACAACTGGCAAGATTAGGGGTAGAAAAGTTATAAGCAACCACTGGGTTTGGCTAGGAGTTCTTTATAGGTTATTCCTTTCAAGAGAGATGTAGATAACCGTTGAAAGCAAACCCTTTTTTAATCCCCTTTAATCTTTCTTGTAATTTCTTTATGAACTCTCTGATTCGATGATCGCCAGTTTCTTGCAGCTATTATTATTATACCAGTGCTATATTAGGCAGGTAGTATATTATAATTATATTAAATCTGGCAACAATCTAGGAATGAAAAATGAAATTATTGCAGTGCATGAATAAACTTTACAAAGCAGTGGTTCTCCAACTTTTAAAGCCTTTTTAGAATTTGTCCCACGTCCCACCTCAAAAATAACTAGGTAACAATAAGCGACGAATAACAGATAGCATAGCTAAAGTATGTTTTTTGCACGTGGATGGAACGTAAATGATGGAATATGGTAAATGCAAAGTTTTTAAATTTGAATATCCAAAATAAGGCAGGCAAGATCAAATCTACCAAATATTTTTATTTTTAATAAGCTCCTCGCCCCCTCAAGAATTGTCTACGCCCCACCATTAGAGAACCACTGTTTTAAACTATTCAAATTATATGAAAGCAAGAGCTGTGTGTGACCTTAGGAACTTTTAGGATTGTAAAAATAATGAAAAATGGGGAGAATAAAGAAATTTGAAATAGGCATAGGAGAGACTCTATTGAAAAAAGGTCGGAACCGCTGACTTAGTCATAGGTATTTGTAGAGGTAAAAATATAAAAAAAATTATGGGTACTTGTTTCTCTCCTTTAGAAACGAAATTTGTATGTATAATGGGGGGAATGGAGAGATCTTAAACGGGCAGAGAGAGAAACTTATTAAAAAAAGTAGGAAGTCGTTCTGTTATCACTTCCAATACATCTTACATGATCGAATGCAGCTTATTCGTAGGTATTTGTAGAAATTAAAATATAAAAAAAAATGCGCTCCGTAGTATGAAGACCAAGATTGTGCACCGGAACGTAGTATGTGTACCAGGTTAGGGTTAGGACTCAATTTTATTCCAATTTTTCCTTTTTCAGTTCTATTAAGAGTTCCGGGACTAGTTAAGTTATTCTCGTAGTCTTTGTACCTAAACATGGTACACATACTACGTTTCGGTGTCTGCCATCTTGGTTCACATACTACATGAGTACCTTGATATTGAAATGGCAAAGAGGTAAATGAGAAAATAAAGGTTGAGAACCTATGATTTAGTACAAGCAAAATCGATTTATATTATTCATAAACTTTTCAAATAAAAAAATTGATGTATTGCTAAAACACCATCATTGTAAATGACTGCAGTAACTGTATAAGAAATACAAATAACACTGTTTTATTGCACTGAATAAATCATACTATTCCTGACAAGATTAAAAAATAGTGCAGCGGTCCCCAAAGTGACGCGCCAAATTATCAGAGAAAAAACTCACATGGCACTTACGAGAAAAAAAAAAGATACTACTTGTGTGTAGTGAACGACTTTGTAGGTAAGTATAGGTATGATGTACTAATTGCATCAAAAAGTATGATGATTATATATATATGATGAGTATAAAAATAATACTGTATATACCGATATATGGCCATTGCTGATTGAAATTTAAAAAAAAGGGAAAAAGCTAATCTCATGGCAAGTATGGGAATAATGTACTATTTGCATCAAAAGTAAGATTTGTATAAAGTACTGTTTTCGTGATTTAATAAAACCAATTAGATTTTAAGTTTTCGAAATTAATATCACCGTAATTACCTATATACATTATTGTCGCACCATAGGAAACAATAACATATGGCAGATATGGTGATAATGTACTATTGATTGAAATCAGAATTTATTGCCAGCAAAATTAAAATTTTAGATATATTCGGACATAACAGTATTATTATGCCAAATGTGACGATAATGCAGTATTGGTAGCAAAAGATATGATTTTTCAGGTATATTCCAGATCCGCTTTTATGCGAGGATATACGGTATATGGATTGCTTCTTACAGTTATGCATGCATTACTATATAGATGTTCCCAGTTCAGAATATTTTTTGAAAAAAACTTTGAACATTTCAAAATTACTTCTCAGTATATTCTGGAGGATTTGAGCTCATCTGGTCTTCTTGATCTTTGGTTATTGATGGTTGTGTAGGTATTGTAGCATGAGGAGCTGTAGCTTGCTGAGATGTTTGTCCAGTGGGAAATGCTGCAGAGCTTTGGGAAGACATGGGGGCTGATGCGGAGGGTATTCCAATTTGAGCAGCCATGGGAGTGTGTTGATACTGCCCTTGGGGAAGAGCTCCAGCCTGGGAGGGCATGGAAGGTGGTGCATACTGCATTGTTGGGCCTCCTCCCACTTGGGTGGAAATGGGGGTCTGCGGATACTGCATTGTGGGGGCTCCTCCAGCCTGGACAGGCACAGTTGTGGGTGCATAACATATAGCTCCTGATGTTTGGCAACCTTGTGGCATCATTACATACTGACCATTTGCAAGTTGCACCATTTGACCTTGTTGAGTAGTGTAAGCAACGATAATTTGCCGGGGCTTTTTTCGACAACAAATTCCAGCACAGCAAAGCGCTGCATGGATAATAGAGATTATCATGCCTATAAATCCAAGGATGGCAAGGATAACATGGAAAGGCATAACTATGTAATTATATGACCGAGGATAAACCGTGAAGATACTCACAATTGACAAAACGATTAGAAACAACATAAAAATTGCTGCCAAAATACTGAAAGTCATGTTAGCCCGGTACATGCACGGTGATGTATGGTGCTTAGTTTTTAATCCCAGGATGCCAGATACTAAGAGAACAGCGCCACACCATATTCCCTGTGCCACCGTATTGGTGCCGTATGTGATTCTATATTCAACGATTCGATCATTCCAAAAGTGACGGCCAATATAGGAGGAATTTATCGCTCCCAGAATAAGGGTCACAACACAAAAAATGGCGCAGAGTACCGCTAAAATGATCTCCACAGTTCCAAGATAAAACAGAACATTTTTGTATTTTTTCCGTGGTTTGAGTTGACCCATTGCTGCCCCTTGTGGTTGAGTTTGTGCCAACATAACTGGAGCTTGTTGTTGTGGTTGAACAGCAGTTGGCATTACAGAATTCTGCGCTGGAGTTTCAAATTGCTTGGTGTAACGGTTGCTTGTAAATCCCAAGACGTTGACCGAAATTCTAAGTAAATTAAAGTTTCCTCGTGACAAAGAAGTCTGCAGATAGTGAATGGTACGCGACTCGAAACAGCTGTAGTATTGATGGGCAGGCTGTGAGCAACTACTGATTCTTGCGAGAGAGATGACAGTAGATATGCAACCCTTTATTTTATCTTCCTTATATTCTCCTTAATGAACTCTTGCAGCTGTTATTATTATACCAGTTGTATTTTAGGCAGGTAGTATATTATAGTTATATTAAATCTGGCAACAATCTAGGAATGAGAAATGAAATTATTGCAATGCAATAATTAACTTTAGGAAGCAGGATTAAAAATGAAATGCAATTTATAAGCTAAACATATATTGGATGTTTCAAATATACATAAAAGATTAAAATACAAAAAGTCGGCATATAAAAAGCAAATAAAATGACTGGTAGACCTATGGAATTCTAACTACAAATCACGATAGGATTTTCATATTTATCCGGGGGGGAAAGAATAAGAAGGCATGAACAAAGGCCAAACACGATGAACAGTTCTTTTTTCATTTTGAATATAATTTTATTTCTAAATTCCATTGATTCCCAAACAAGACTGATTTTACTTTTCACTTCACAGAAAACTCCCCAGTTCTTCCTAGTTTTATTGCTTGATAAGGTTATTTCACAGGGTGTTTTCACTTTTTTGTGCATAAATTGTTTGAACATAATAGGAATTGGAATCTATTAATCAAAATAACACTAAAAATACTTATGGAATTATAAACAAGGGGGACATGAGAGCTAAAAGCCTCCTGAAGGGAGCAACGATAAATAAAAGGATTGGGAACCACTGCTTTAGACATTTCTAATAGGATACGATATTTACCCCGTGGCTCACTCAAATAACAAACTACGCCTTCTTATCCAGTTTATAGACCATGTCAGCCAGTAGTTCGCAGTTACTTTTAAAGCAACTTGAACTAACTATAATTTCCCATATGCCCTGAGGCGAGCATGATAAATAAAACAAATTGAAAACTCGTGATTCAAATG